ATATATATTAAAAGATTAACATATTAAAATAATTTAAAAATAATAAAAATTATTACTTTTTATATATTTTTAAAACACAAAAATAAAAAAACTCAAAATTTAAAAAAATCTGTAAAATAACACAACTGATGTATAATTATGACAATATATTTACAGTATCGCAAGTCGTGATAGGATATCACATCTTAACAGTTTACTAAACATTAACAAATCAAAGATTAATTATGTTTTTGATAGATATAAACTTGTGTAGATTCAATTTTATTTCATATTTTGCTGTATTCATTTACTATCTAGTTGCTGCATTAGCTACAATATTTCTCTTTTAAATTTCTGGTAATTAAGATATAAATGATCTGTATATATAATTAAGATGGGGCCAGACTTAGCTAATTTTAATTTTCATTAAAAAAAAATGCAGTGGGTGGATCGATAAACATTATACTTTCCTTGAAATATCTATGCCACCATTTGAAAAGGGCACTGGGCGCATTAATTAAAAGAAAGCAACTTGGAATTGATATTTGTATCTGCTTCTGGCAAAAATATGAATTATGGTTTAAGAAGTCAATCGTTTATTAATTGAAAGCAGGAAAGTATAGCTGGCCATGGTCTGTGAATTTCTTTTTTAATGGTAAATATATATTTCTGAATCAACTTCTCCACATTAAATCTTAAAAAGATATCTCTGATCATTCATGACTTTGAATTTGAAAGAAAGTGATTTGTATTATCAAAAATGATACAGGAATTTTTCATGGAATTGAATCAGAGTATTTTGTTAACTCTTTATAGTCCGCAAGATATTCAAATAATGCATCCAGCCATGGAATGGGCACTGATACAGAGATATATACAGGCAAGACATGCTTGCTGTGTCATCACTGTTTTTCATAATAATTTGGGGAATGCACATATAGCTGGTGGGAAAAGAGCCCTTCCTTTGTATTATTGTTAAAGTTACGTGCGCATTCAGTGTATATATAAATTAATTTGCTGCTCGCTGGCAGGTAAGAAATTCTCAGCATTTTATCGGCTCTCTTGAATTTGAATGCATGCACAAACAACATTGTCAGAAACTGCTGAGTTCATTGGACGACAATGCCAAACTTCATTTATGGATTAGGTGCTCATTTTCTAGGGAGCCAAATACCAAGTTTATGCGGTAGGTCTAATTCAATTATCTTTAGAGTGGGAGGGGAAAGTGAAGAAGATCATGTCCTCCTTGTTATATAATAGTTTAAATTATATATTTCATTTAATGGCACGATTTAAATTTGTAGGTGGAGATATTCAATCTCATAATTTTAATTTTAATCGTCGAACGATTAAGAGTTTAAATATTATTATTATTATTATTTTTTCTTAAAATTAATTAAGTGCACAAAATAATGTAGTTTATGCGAGTTTGAGCATTACTTCTTCTTTTTCTTTCTGTACGGGGAGGCTTTATATCCTCTCAGCCTCAATCTTGTATTCCATATCTCATATATGAAGCGTACTCCTTCACGTTATGTCCACGGGAGTTGGGGGGAAAAGTCATACTTCTTTGTTCCACATTAATAGTTCAGGAAGACAATAAGAAATTTTCAATTGACAAAAAAAAAAAAACAAGAAGAAGAAGAAGAAGAAAAGAAAATAACATTAACATATATTTTTTTTATCTTCAAGTCTATTTACAAAAAAAATAAAAAAAATTATTTTCCTTTTCTTCCCATTATAGGAAATGATTTATGTATTATGATTGGGGCCAAAAAAAATTAACAAAGTTGATATATACAATGACGCGGCGTAAATTAATGTTACCGTACCTAATGTGGGGTTAAGACAGGA